ATAATGAGAAAAATCTTGAGTAAACTGTAACTAGGGGATACTAGTAGCATCTAGTCCCAGCTCCCAGTATGTAATTCTAGTATATGGTATTACTTATGTGTAATTCCTCAACTTACATGTATCCATATGTGTAATATCCACAGTCTTGGATATTTCCACTTACTGTCATGCAGAACTCAATGTAATAATGAATCCTAAAACACTATTCACCTCTTGTTGCTGAGATGTATGTACTTTTTGAAAGAAACAAAATTTGCTGGCTCTCTTAATTGCCTGTTCCTTTTCTGATCAAATTTTTCATCAGTTTACAAGCGCAACAAATCATACACTCCCAAATAACAAGAGAGGAAAAGTGCTCCAGGAACTATGGTATTCCACTAGCTTTAACTTGAAACATTGTATTGTTCATGTAAGGAGCTAAGGCTATTCCTGTGTCTTCTTGCTTATTGCCTCTTATGGGCCTTACCCTAAATTCTTTCCAATTCTATTTAGCATTTATTCAGAACCCCTACTTTTTTTTTTTTTTTGTGATTATCGTAGGAATACACGATTATATGCATTGAATAGTTGAATAAAATTTTGACACTTTACACTTTTGGAAGTTGAATGTACTTTCAATTCACCTTCTTCCAAAATTAATGGAAAGGTGAATCTCTGAGCATGAAACATTGATCTCTTCCATACAGCTTATGCTTCCTTGTAGTACAAAGGGTGTTAGGAGTTATTCTTGATTCATCTGATATTTAATTCATTAACTATTAAAGTGAACCTTCAATCAGTCATACTTGTGGTGTTGGTAAAGGTTGAATTCACTTTGCAAATCTTGAATCTATGTCTTGGCTGTCTAATGCTGTAAACTTGCTGTCAGTTGCTAGAGTTTCTTCTAAGCGGTGATTAGTTTCCTCCTGAAGCAAGATACTTAGTATATAGTAAATAAATGGCACCTCTCTACTTACTGGCTTAGATATGGGCATTAACATTGCAGATACCTAAAGTTAGATGAGGTTACCTCACCATTGGTAATTGCACTGATTTCAGGAAAATTATGTTACTAAGATCTGTATAAAAATCAGAGTTGTCTAATAAGAATTTTGCCTTAAAAATTATTTTGAAGTACTGTTCACATATTTATAACTCTCTAGTGTGGTCGCCTGCATCAACTGACCTGTCAAAAAGGAAATAAGGACCTTAAGACTGGGTAGGTCTGCTGAAAAGATCCCTTTGTTTCTTTCCCCACAATATTAGTTTTATAAATTGTGTACTTTTTAAAGTAAATACCTTCTCACTACAGACTTCACCTTGCTCACGTATTTAGATCATGAGTACAGCAGCACGATTGTTTAAGCACTATAACTTTTAAATCTGACAAGTAAAACTGAATATTCTTCTTTTATTATGCAATGATATAATTTAAAAAAATAAGCAGTGGAATAGGTACCTGTACACCTTGTAAACCATCCATGTCTGAATAAAAATTTTCTGTAATTTTATTTTGTATGCGGTCAACAGCATCGATCTCCTGTTCTTCTTCAGCCTCTTCTTCTTCTTCTAAAAACTCTCCTTCAAGTATAGCTTCAGTATCTTCAGTTTCCTCTGTGGCTTCATAATGCTCCTTATTTGCTAAAGCCTAAAAAGGTAAAATATTTTGTTTTATGTCTATGATACAGATGTTTTGAATAAACATGGTATTGTGTCTTTTTACTTAGGAAAATCACTAATTCAACAAAACCTCATTTTTGGATATCTTTATCATGAACAAAAATCTAGTAAATTATAGAAGAAAATACAGACATATTGCATTCTGCATAGAGTGAAGCACTGTACCAGTTCCAAGACTGCTTAAAAAACTGAAGTGGTATACTGCAGTTTTGAGAAAAGGAGTATTTTTTTCATATATGCTTTTGTAATTTGTCAGGGCTTTGTTAGAAACAAGCATGTGAGCTGAGAGTGCAGTTGACAGAATTCCATGAGCAGTCAAGTAGTACATTAATGCATTTATAAATATACTATGTAATTGAGTTTGGGCAGAAATCCTAGTACAGTCCTATTCTGGATTAAGCATGGATTTGACAGAGTACTTAAAACACATGCCTAATTGCAATTAGTGGCACTACTGTTGTTTAACCCTGGTTTAACCCCATCTGGCAACTAAACCCCACACAGCCATTCACTCACTTGCCCTGTGGTTGGATGAGGGAGAGAATCAGAAGAATAGAAGTGAGAAAACTTTTGGGCTGAGGTAAGGACACTTTAATAAGTGAAGCAAAAGACAAGGAATTCATTCACTCCTTCCCGTGGGCAGGCAGGTGCTCAGCCATCTCCAGGACAGCAGGGCTCTGTCACGCAAAACGGTTACTTAAGAAGAAAAATGCCACCACTCTGAATGTCCCCCCTTCCTTCCTCTTCCCCCAGCTTTACACACTGAGCATGATGTCATATGGTATGGACTATCCTTTTGGTTAGTTGGAGTCACCTCTTCTGGCTGTGTCCCCTTCCAACTCCTTGTGCACCCCCAGCCTGCTCGCTGGTGGGGTAGTGTGAGGAGCAGAAAAGGTCTTGGCTCTGTGTAAGCTCTGCTCAGCAGTAACTAAAACATCCCTGTGTTATCACACTGCAGAATAAATCCAAAATGTAGCCCATACTGGGCACTGTGAAGAATATTAACTATATCCCAGCCAAAACCAGCACAGCTACTCTTACAAGTAGATACATTGAACATATTCATAAGTATTTTGCTGAATTGGAGCATAATGAAAATTAAAGTAGTTTTCAGTGTTCATGAATTAATAGTTTCTAAAACAATTTAGACATTGTGACAAATTATTTTTAAAAGTAGAAGTTTCTGACAGTCTGTCACATTTTTACTTTTCTACATTGCCCTAAAAACTCTTTAACTAAAAGCTCTAGAATTTTCTAAAACACAAATGATATACACTTCTATTTAAAATCTTTATTAGCTTTTCTTACCTCCTCTTTCTTCTGTTCTTGTTCTGCTAAAAGTTCTTCCCTTCTTCTAGCAATCTTCTTATCCTGTTAGTGAAAAAAAAAATGTAAGAAGACAGTGATATTTCCTAATAAACGTTCTTTTCTGAGAACTGGTAATGTGACTTAAAATTAATGTTCTTTCCACCTTAAAGCTTTGTTTCCAGTTGCTTCCGGTATTAAAAAATACTGCAGCTTGAAATTATGCAGACCAGATACACCTCTCTACAAGGTGAACATGTAAGTAAATTTTAGCAAAACTAATATGGCAACTTCTGAGATTGAGATTGTGGGGGGAGGGAAGACTGTGATTCTGATCACACTGAAAATATAACACTAGTAAACTACAGAGTTTCTAAACTTACAGGTGTTTTGTACTATTTGGGAAAGAGGTGAATGAGCATCGTATTAAATGTGTGCTGTTCCCTATGCCTGCTTAGAACTGCCTAATTTGGACCAAGTTGTAAGCATTTGAAATATATTTCCCCATTCATATTCAGTAGATAGATGTCAAATACCTGATGGCTAAATCCTAACTCAGAAATAACATGCAGAAGAATTCTGCTTAAGGCCAGTGGGGTCGATGGGGATTAAACCTGTATTGCTATTCTTGCACACTGTAATGCTGCCACTTGAACTGAACAGTACACTCAGCTATGCTGCATTCTCACAGCACCATCTGATTTGCTCAGCATCTGTATACTATGGAAAAAGAATCTGTAACTAAAAAATATATTTTGCAATACACATGAGCAAAAATATCAAATTACTGTTAATTTGGAAATCCTGTTTCTGATCTTTTCTTGCTTCTTAATGCCTTTATCAATTTGCGTCACTGTTTTGTGTATATGTTTTAAATGGGAACCTGTTGTCAGGAGGTATATTGATACCTAAACGATTCATTAGAAGTTTGAACCCTAAGATCTGTAGCACAGGTATTTGCCATGTGAGTTATCAGAGTAACTGCCTACAGGGTGAGCTTAGTACAGCAATAGTCAGTTGCACAGTTGGTCACTAGGATGCACCTTTTCCAGCAAGATTTCCAGCTTGCATCAGGAAAGACTAAATTGAAAAATATATTTTTACTGTTGTATATTATCTGCATTCTCAGAGCCAAACCCTGGTTTAGGCAGTTCAGAAAACATACTGGTATTTTATGAGCCTTGTCCCTGTTTCTGTTGTACTAATTTCCTGTGTGTCAGTTGCTCTGTAGTTATTTGTGCTCAGAACTTTTCTGCTAGTACATATGAAGTACTTCATCTCACTTTTACAGAAAGTTAGGAACCTTGAATATATTGCATGTCCTCATTGTAAACATCTGCATAGACATTTCAGGTTACTTCAAATAACTTGTAACCTGTTCAGAAATAGGCACAGGTTTGTTTGAATCGGAGACTCTGCAGCTGCAACAGGACTGCGAATGTGGCTTAGTGTTATTACATTTCTATGCAGAGTATCACAGCTGGAAAAAGACACGTACACCATACAGTACCTGTGAAGTCAGCTTGTGGGAGATGCAGATCAACTCACATGTGCACAGGGAATATGAGATGCAACGACAGTACGGTGCATGAGCTGTGTATTTTATTTTATATGGCCACATTCACTCTCTCCATCTAGTTGCCTTTTGTCCAGGACTTTCCAGATGTCTGGCATTCTGTCAGACTGTCAGTTGGCTGGCAGCACAGCTGTTTTCTTGGGCTGCAAGATATCTAAACTCCTGCATGAATTAAATGCACAGAGGAGGAAAGCAGCCCTAAATTCTTTTTAGTGCTTTTCATTTTCTATGGTAGATCTAGAAATGCTGTGAATGTGTGAAGTGTGTCTTCTGGCTTCCATATCTATTTCTCTCTCTGCTCCTCACTGCTTTGTGAGTTTTAAAATGTGTTCAGACCTGTGCTGCCGAAATTACAAAAAAGGACACAGGACTGAAAACATACCCTTATTTTTGCTTTCAGGTCTTTCAGTTTCTTTATATTTTCCAATTTTTTATGCTGTCTTTCTTTCCATTTTTGCAGACGTGGAGGAAAAAGACGGTCAAGAACATCACTCTCTTCTACTTGAATATAAACTGCAACATCAGGACAAAGTCCTCGTTCTGACAAATACTGGACTTCATCTGAAGTACGAGGGAAACCATCCAGTATAAATCCTGTTGACCTAATTGGAAAATAAGATATTTATCATTACACGATGTAGTTTAAAGCACAACACAAGGAAAATGCAGTTAATTTGAAAAAAAAACACCAAAACCAAACAAAACAAAAAGCAACCCCAAAGCAACTCCCTTATTAAATGTATATACTAAAACAAAAAAAAATACTTTCAGGTATGATCTTTTTACAATGTAAAGAACTTGAAAAAGCCAAAATAAATTGTGTCCTCAGTATTGCTTGTGTGACTCTAACAGCCGTACTTCTTAGGTGCTGCTCTTGAAAAAATAGAAGGTGCCCCAAAGATCATTTTGGTAACATCTGCTGCAGAAAGCTTGTTGCCTGAAAATTTGTTTTTCAGCAATGCCTGTCAATTTCTTCTCTAGTTTAGCAGAGAGTTTTGCTCTGGCTTTTTTTGCCATTCAGCAGATTTTCCTACTGAGCATGACCTACATGTCCCTTCCTGCAGGTATGTCTGGAAAGCTGTATGGCTTGTTGGAGCTCTTACAGTCTCAGATTAGATGAGTAGTTCTATAATGCTGCAGGTTGTGTTAATAAGAAGTTAATATTTCTCTTATTAGTTTGAAGAGAATGTTGTCCCCTGTTTGTGGGCTGCAGGACAAAAGTTTACATGAGGATATTGTTTATTCTTTTTTAAGGCATTTCTCATACTGTTAGGAATTGAAACTTGATGTTCAAACATTAAAAAAAAAAAAAAAAGCAGCTATGACTTGGATAGAAATGGATGGAAGAGGTAGGACATGAAAAAAGGGATATTCCCTGCTGAAATTCCATCTTAAAAAGCCAGTCTGCTTTCTAGGAGCCAATGATCATACTTATTCATGCAGCAATAATCCACATTTATCACAGTGTTATGCATGTACTCTCTGATATGAAAAGAAGTTTGTTGTGGATGCATCACTGTAGATTGTGATGAATGCACAAGATAACCTGATTCTGTTCTATTTTGGAGACCTTTAATACTTTGCTTTTGCTTTACACACAATATTTACCATGTATGCAAACCAAATTTTACAGCTGGATTCCAGCTCTCCATGTTTATTAATTACATTAAAACATATCTATCCTGTAAGCCCATGAAAACTACCTGGCTGTTCAGGAGATTTAATCCAAATCAAGTGCACCAAGTTTTTTTGTCCAGCCCTGTGTAGAGCACATGAGACGACGTATTACTGTCAAAATGCCAATCAAAACAGAGCAATAAACCAAGACTGAGAGGTAGGTCATGATTTGTAAGAAGTACAAGAGCACTTGAATAATCTCTGCAATTTGTAATTGTGGTCACAATGAACGATACCTTTATAAGATTAATTAAAGAAAAAGAGAATCTAATTACAGTTACCGGAATGGCTCTTTTTTCCACCAGTCAAGAACAATGTTATCAAGAACTTCTGGAGGCAGTGGGTCTTTATCCATCAGATTTGCTTTGATTGCCTCTTCCTCAGGAGTTAACGTCACTTCCTTTATATAAAGAAAATCCACAAAATAAAAACAAAAAGCACCAAAACCAGAAAGAAATCAAGATCTACCTGACGTTTGTGGTTTGGTTTTGGTGTTTGGTTGGTTTGGTTTTTTTTTTGGCTAAGGTACTGTTTGAATTTGATTTAAAACAGCAGAAACAAACTCATTTGCCACATTTCACTGCATTATAAATTTTGAGATATTTTCAAATGCTTGAGGTTGTATTTAATTATACATATGCTCAATAGCATAGAACTGAAATGATTGTACTTTCTCCTAATTGCCTACAAGAAGTTTTCCACTGAGTTATACGTGTTCTCATGCTGGAAAACTAACTGCACTACATCAAAATGTTTTTTTTCCACTTTTTTAAAAAGCAACTTTTATCTTTTGATACAATCAGAAGATTTAAAGAAAGATATGCAAGGTTACTGGGGATAAGCATATGGCCGGAAGTCAGATAAATAGCATTGTCCTACAGAACAGTGGTAGTATTAATGACTAGTCAAATACAGAGCATTCAAATACCAAATCTAGTTGTTAAATTCTTGTGAAAACCTGTTTTTTCAGAATATTTAACTGTGAGATTCATATGGCTCAGGATGAACTTTTCATAGAATGGCTTCCTGACACAAACTGCAGTAAGAAAGAATGAAAAAGGATTGGTGATTCTGGATTAGTTTACATCTGTCACAGTAAGTCTACTGGATAAAAGACAGTATTAGAAGTGAGAGAATATCACTGTTCCTGACCTGTTGTGTAATTTTTTCATGGTAACATTCATAGAAGAAAATACTGTTATCTAGCTAGTTGATTTTTTCCCCCAATAAAACAGAATGGCAAAGTTTGTAAGGGAAAATGTATCTGGTACCCTTTAAAGAGTTCAGTACTTTTTCTGCCATATGTTATAAAGGTCTCATTTGTAAAAAATCATCTAGGTTTGTTTAAGAAGATGAGATATACACTACCAAAAGATTGTGTTGTTTAAATGTCAGTTGTGATCACACATGTACCTAAGTTGCATCCAAAGTCACTTGGAAAGAAAACTTGATATGAAGCTAGGTATTCTCCTGTACATCTCAGCAAATGGATTTGTCCCGACATTCTTTTGAGCATTTATTATGAAGTTCTGCTGTCCTTTCCCTAAGTAGTACTCATATTAGCCCAAATTGCTCAAGAATTTGTTAGCATAACCTGTCAGAAAATAAAGGAATAACCCTTTTTAACAAAAAGATCCAAATGATCAAAAGATCCAAGAACCCTCAAAGTGACTGTAGGGAACTGCTTGATGCAAGGACATGTCTGAGTAAGAATTCCTGCGCTTGACATCTATTCTGATAATGTAGCCAAAAGAACTTGAGAATATGCTGGAAGCCATGGTCTAATGTAGCATGTATATGAGTAGTATTTTGTCTAGTGCCTGACACAGCATACATACTAAAAAATGTTAGTGGTCATAACAGATACCTAAGCAGGCAAAGTGTTAGCCAGATCTGTAACACAGAGACATCTTGAAGGAAATGTGTGAAGTGAGAGAAAACAGTAAAAGCCGTATGTACCACTGACACTTATCACAAGAACAGATGAGCTCTTGAAACGGCATTTGTAGCTAGCTGATAGAAGACAAGACACACAAGATGCATATTCCTGGTACAGGAAAGAGAACACCCCACACAGCAGTGGTTCAAAGAGCAAGGTTGCACCCCAGACCTGTCAGTGTTGTGAAGGTTTGGTTGACACATACTAAAACAACCAGCATGATATCTTCTTGCTAAACTTCCCAGACTGCATGGTATGTTTTCTGTGCCTTTAGTACTTCTGCTTTGAATATTATAGCTGACCTTTACCTTAAGCTTTGATAGATATGCTTCTAGTGCCTTGTGCCAAAATGAAAGAGAATGATACACATGAAATTAAATGACATTTTGGAGAAGTAATGGGTAGGTGAAAAACTGGATAGTTGGACAGTAGTAGTAGTTGTACTCAGAGAAATGCTTAGGGAGTCCACAGCCTTGGAAATGATCCACTAGAGTTCTGTGCGTAGACCAGTGAATGGGTTTCTAAATTCAAATTGCATCATCTGTGCTTTGGTAGTGCCATCAGATAAAAGCACTTTACAAGAATTTTGAGAAAAAGATACTAGTGTAGAAGAATATTTACCAGCAGATAAAAAGATGAGGAAAAAAATACTAACAGAAATGCCTTTATGTAAGACACGTATTGATGCCCAAAAAAATAAAGCTCAGTGAGAGCCAGCCATAATCATCACTGCCAGGAACACTTGCCGTATTTTTGGCAAAAGAATCTCCTCTTAGATTTAACTGATGAAAAGCTGAATTTTTGTGCTGACATCCATGATTTTGCTCCATACTCCGTCTGTATTGAAGCATTTGCTTCCAGTATTACCTGCTCTTGCATTATTTCAGGAGGAATACTATCTTCCAGCTCTCAGGGACCTCCCCTGCTTTTCAAGACAATAGAGAGTGGCCTCGAATGCACCTTTGGCATCTTCCTCAGCACCTGTGAATGCATCCCATTGGCTTGTGTATGTCCAAATTACATAAACAATCCCAAATTTGATCCTATTCATGTTCCTTTAAGTTAGTAGTCATGAAAGACATTCTACATGGCAGGTATTAGGAGAAAAAAAGGGGGAAAAAAAGTCTCTTAGAATGTGGTGCAGAAACTTCTTTCTTCCTGAAGCTTTGCAAGTTGGATAAACCCTTACTTGTATTGTTGAGGAGGTAGATTTTCAATTGATAGATTTATATGCTGTGTACCTGTGCTGAGACTTCTCCAAACAATAACGGCTTTTATCACATCCATTGCTATATAAAGATGAATTAATTTGCATTGAAACCTTCTTTGGTTTTCCCAATAAATCACTGTCTAATACAAGAAATCACTCTCTCCTGATAAACATTTACGTAAATGTTTATTGTTCAAGGAAATTACACCCTGTAAGAGACTGGGTTTAGAATGTATGTTTAGAACTATTTTGAACGAGTATTCAACCTAATTTTCTGAAAACTATCATTAGTTACTTAATCAGTATCATGAATATCCAGGTATTTGGAAGAGTTTTTTCAACTACATGACATATTTTATGCTACCTAAGAGCTTTCTCTGGTTTGAAACTTTACGGTCAATATGCAAAGACAACACTACAGTCCAGATTACAGAACCTACTGTATTAAAAATTACTATCTCACCCTGTTACAAACACTGAAATATTTACCTTCACATTATCATTCTGACCTTCGTTTTATTTTTTTTATCTCTCTTTTTCTTCTTTTGCCCCATTTAGCACCCATCTGTACTATTTAGGAAAATCCCTATACATAAGTCTTGAAAATATTTTGAAGAATGTTTGTGGCATTCAAAAGAAAACATTGTCAAGAACTAGTATTTCAAAATTTTATCAAGTAAATAATTTAACATAAGTGATTTTTAATCAAACAAGAATTTTATAGGAAATTCCAATTGTAGCCTGAAAATGGATATTTTGTGTATGGACATAAAAAGATCAGATCGTTACCTGTTTGCTTTTTTTAGTTTTTTCGGTTTTAGTCATGGCCTGAGAAAAGTCTTCCAGTTCCTGTGATAGCATTAGTATT